TTTTCTCAATTTAATTTCTCACGATCACCAGACTTCAATATACTCCTTTCGTCTCTAAAAGATTACTACAGTTTAACTTTTTTAATCAAACAGTGACACTATTTGAGCATGAATAAAATATAGTTTAAAATAATTAAATATTATGAAAATTTGATATTTTAAAATAAACCTAATTTTACTATATTTACATTATAACTAAATGTACATTTTCTATAATTTGCGGTCAACGGGTGTTACAGTTTGACCAAAAATGTCAAACTATGGCAATTAGGGACAGAGGAAGTAATATTTTAACGAGTGCCCGCTTCTATGGTGTACTTTGGGTGCATACCATTAGTGTGTGCCTTCTCACATAAAAAAATATTTTTTCTATTCTTATACTTTTGGTTAAAATAAATGTTTATCATGATAGTTAGGATTTGCTTATTTCCCATATATGTATGTCCATGGTCGACCTTAAATCCACCATAGAATTTGCCTATTTTTTAATAGTTGTACTTCTTCAATTCTTAAAAAAAAATCTCAAGAGAAGGCATTATCATTAGTTTCTTTAGGAGCCACAACTATTCCATGTTTATTAAATCTAACATAAATTTTTATTATTGTTTAAAAGGAGAACTCCCTCGATAGGAGTAAAAAAACTATGAAAATATCAAAATAGAAGTCATAAGTCTTTTGAGACCAAAATAAAAATTCACACTACCATTGTTACACTGTCACACTTACCGCATTGTCAAATTGTAACTGCCACATTATAAGTGTCACACTGCCATCCGTCGCTTCCGGCCACCAGAGTGCCGCCGCAGATCGCCGACGATTACCTATTCTTACAGATATATTACACGTTCATCACTTTTTCATTACACTGCCAATGCATATTCTTATAGCACACTGACATTATAATCTTATTTTGATCTTAAAAGACTTAGGACTTCTATTTTTATACTTTTATATTTTTTACTCCAGAGAGATTTCTTTTTGTTTAAAAATTACTGTCGGTTGGTTGTGATAGGGCCATCATTGTTACTCTCCCTAGCTCCCTTCTCTTTTTATAGTCTATTTTGGTTTTTCGAGTCAACTGAATATATACTAAAATATACCATAAAAGTTTTCAACATTGGAGAAACCGAGAAAGGTAAGTTTTAAGGATTGTATATTTTTGATATAATTTTTAAATTTTACTATTACTTTATAGATTGGTAATGTAATGCACAGATTAATGATGAATAGGTATGATGTGGTGGATATATTAATATAATAATAACTAAAAGTAAAAGAGAGATTTTAATTAAAAGTGATTTGGGAAAGATGAAAAATAAATGTAAAAAATATTTTTTGAGATGGAAAGAGTATAATAAATTCAAATATAAAAGTTATACGGATCGGAGTACTATAACATTTGTATCAATAAAAACTTTTTATACTCCCTTCGTCCCAAAATAAGTCTCGTATTTCGATTTACGATTTTGACTTAAATTATATTTAACTCAACATTATTGGAAATTAGTACATTTTTTAAAAATAAAAATTATGTATATTTAAAAACCACATCAAAAACTCTACAAAACAAATAGTAATATAACTGTTTAATTTATTTTATCGGATTAAAGTATTGCGGAAATTGTTTAAAGTAAGATGCATGCATGTTGTTTGATCATTTTCGAATAACGTGGTTTATAAAGAAGTTGTTTGACCCATGCAACGCACGAGTGTGATACTAGAACTCCTTCCGTCCCTAAAAGATTGCCACAATTTGATTTTTTTGGTCTAGCTAATTGTGACACCATTTGATCATGAATTAAATACAGAGTATAATTTAAAATAGTTAAATATTATAAAAATTTGATATTTCAAAACTATATTAAAACAAACCCAATTTTATTAAAATTAAATTATAACTAAATATATTTTTTCTATAATCCGCGGTCAAAGAGTGAGAAGTTTGACGAAAGAAATTAAACTGTGACAATATTTTTGGGGTGAAGGGAGTGTGTGTGTGTGTGTGTCTATATATATATATATATATATATATATATATATATATATATATATATATATATATATATATATATATATATATATATATATATATATATATATATGATCATCATGTTCATGTAACAAACCAAACCAACATCCTCTGCCCTACTCCATACAAATAATAAATGCAAAGGCATTAATAACTCCTCAGATTTGTCTCCCTCTTGAGAGTGATCACTTTTCTCAGGATTCCTGGCTCCTCCCACCTCCCTTCACTTATTATTTCCAACTCCCTTTCTTCNCCCCCCCCCCCCCCCCCTCCCCCACCTTTTATTTCTTATATTCCCGTTATTATTAAGTATTATTAGTATTATTATATTCTCCCTCACCTCATCATCTCAACTACACTCTTCATTTCTTCTCTTTCTCTTCTCCAAATTCTCTACCTCTTTCATTCTTATGTATATATGCTTCCACTCATTCATTCATGCTTTGTTAAGTTCATCTTCATATATACATTGAGGTGAACTATTACGGGCGGCGGTGATGGCATCACATTACAATGCGAGGAGCTTTTGGCCAGAGCGGGTTACGTTCTGTGTATAAAAATGTACGTGTGCACGAGATATTAGTGCGGTTCAATGAGAAAGTAAAGCTCAAAATGTTTTTGAGCTCCTCTTTTTTATTGAGCCGTGCCAATATCACGCGCGTGTTGGTAATTTATTAAGAGCTTTGTGTGTTTGTGTAGGGTGTGTTTTATATGTGGGGCATGGGGTAAACTTTAAATTTGTTAATGGTATGTTTGGGAACATGGATTTGGATTTCAAATCCGGATTTGGCTTAAATTCCATGTTTGGAAAACTTAAGCATTTTAAATTTGGATTTGAATCAAATTCTTTACATTCAAAACAAAACTTAATTTGAAATCCATGCACCTCCCCTTGTCATTTGAAATTCAGGATTTCAAATTTTGGAATTGAAATGCATGAATTGAAATGAAATGCTAGTTGCCAAACACTACCTAAAGGATTTTTAATTATATTACTTCTTTAGTTCTTCTTTTAATCATTGATCTCATATTTTTTGAACTTTAGTTGGTGTGGTTGAAGTTATTAGATCCAAATTAAATGACATATAGGTTATTTCTTTATTTAATTACACAGTGGGCGGTAATTCTTTTGTTCATGGTTTGATAATGTTGGTGGTATATTGAATTGGTATATGTGTTCGTATGTATAATAATATTTAATTTCTTAACAAAAAAAAAATTAATGTCAAAAGATGAATTATATATCCCTCTCTTTCAAAATTGTAATATAATGTTTAATAGGGGTAAAAATGACTTTTAAATTGAAAGTACAAGTATTTTGTGAGTTGAAAAAAAGAGAAACTGTTTTGTGAAACAGGATGATTATTCATATATTCAAACTTTTTTTTGAAGTATATATATTCAAAATTGTGATATGAAATTTATCAAATGTTTTTTGCATTTTTTAAAAGAAATGTTTTTGCCTCAATTGCCTAATAATCTAGTTATTTGTTGTTTATAAGACATTATTGTTGCATTGTTACCAATGAGCATTAAAATTAGAATGTGGTGGTGATTGGATGACAATATGGCACTAAATAAATGAGATGATAAAATAATTGTACTCTCTGTTTTATTTATTTAGTACTCCTAATTGTCTATTTTCTTTGGGGAATTGAATGAATTTGAAATGTGAAGTTATTAAAAGTAGTTTGTCACTCATTAATATAACTAATGCTATTTTAGATCACTCATCCTTGTTTATTTATTAAATAAAGAAAATAAATCACTAATTTTTGATAAATAAAAAAGGGGGTCTAGTTTGACACCGCTCACTTATAAACAATTTCCATACATCGATTAAATTAGGGTACATACAATGTTCTTATCGTAAAATTCATGATTTTTATCTCTTTACTCACCCCAGACCCTCCCCTGACCGATTTGCCATTCAACTTTTGAGTTTCATAATATGACTTCAAGGCTAGTGTTACGTGTCAATGACCTTATAGTCTAATAACACCATTATGACTCTCCCAAATAAGTGGTCTTGGATTAGGTTTCCGATAGGACAATAACTCTATAAGTTTTAATTAGTTGAGAATATACGAATAGATACTACTTTGTGATAAAGTTATTACAAATAGATACTACTTTGGAGTAGTATTAAAAAAAATATGACTTCTAGACTCTAATGTACTCTTTTGGACCCTAAAGTGGATCCTACCCCCTAACCCGGCCTCTTTCCCTTCCTTCTCCTTCCTCCCTCTCAACCCGCCCCATTTGAAATTGCTGATATGCTACAATCTGTCATCATATAGCATATCAGGGATCTCGAAGGGCTAAGTGTAATCTGGGAATTACTTTGTTACACCTTCAAATGGCTTCATTTCTTATTATAATATCAAGTGTTGGTGTGTCAAAGCATTGATATCATATGCTCCATCCGTCTCAAATTAAATTACGTGTTTAGTATTCACATGGTCAAACTTCATTCACTTTCTTTCTTTATTTTCATTAGTCATTTGATAAAATAGAATAGTCATGTTCCTAGTATCTTTTAAAAAAATTGATGCAGTATTTTAATATGTAATTTTTTTAATTCTAACATATTTTTCATATAAAATAATTTGGAAATAATTTCAATCCAACATCGTAAATCAAAACAGACAATTTAAATTGAGACGGAAGGAGTATTATAGTCACAAACAAAACATTCACAAATTGCACAAACTTACCAATTATGTAAAATAGTAATTCCAAATAATGGTCTCAAATAATTAAAAAATAAAAAACTTAAATACGCAAATGGTAAGTTTGTATATTTTGTGAGTATTTTGTTTGTGACTCTAGCATTACTCAAATTTTTTTAAAAAAATCTTACAATGCCAAAATAAAGTGAGTACACACACACCAACTATTTCAAATCTCTTTTTTAGACATAACAGATTCTATTCCTTAGCTTCATCAACATGAATTGCAAAAAAAAAAAAACCCTCAAACAGCTATATTGTCTGGTATATCTAACTCCTCAAATGCTCTACTTTGATCACTAACTATGACATCAAAGTAATCAACTTTTTTTTGTTTTGCAGAATTAACACATGATCTGCATTCACTAATTATACTATAGATATGTTTGTTTACTAGTAGTATTATTCTTATTATTATTTATGCTGCTATAATAATAAAAAAAAACATGCTGCTATATATGACAGACCATCTGCTATAAAAATTCCTATCTCTCGATCGCTCTCTATGTGTATCTATACGTATACTTCGTGTGATTTCATCAAGTGGCAGTTTCATTATTCAGAAAGTTGTGGCATTCCACAGAGCGTTTTCTCCCTCCCCGCACCTCTGGTGGACGTCCCTGATCCTATCCACCGGTCGGCATATCCCACTGCATGCCCAGTCAAATGCTGCAACACATATGTTGCCCGCTTGAGCCTTCCACTCACAATCTGTGCATACAATAACAAGAAGAAGAAGAAGAAGAAGAAGAAGAAGAAGTGTTCAGATCGTTTTCTTTCTTATAAATAAATTATAATCATACGCCGTGCACTTTTTAACATTTTTTCTTGAATTATGTGAAGTCAGACCACAAAGTTTATTTTAGGACTGAGGGAGCATGTAATTGAATGGTTCACTGCCTTTTCTCCCTTTAGTTTTTCTTTTTAATGTTTTGTAGGGTGGTGTGCATTGCCAATGTAGCTTAAGAAGGAAAAAAAACCACTTTTGACAATGTTTTGAAGGCTTCAAGTAAATAATGGAGAAAAATCAGAATGACACATTAAACTTCTATTGCTTCTCACTTTCTATAAAGTTATGGACAGTAAATAACGGATCAAGGGTCGAATAGTCTCCCTGTTTTTTATTGGGGTAAGACTGCGCACATCGTGATCCAAACAGGGCCCGGATTATGCTGGGTTTCTTGTTGTTATTGTAGCACTGTGTTTGGTTTGTGGATTTTGGTAAGAAAATAGGAGGAAAATATTTTTCTTTTGTATGGTTAGAGAGGAAAAGAAAAATGGAAGGAAAAGAAAATGAGAAGGCAAAATGTGCTAAGAGGAGGGAATACCAATTCAAATTCCTCCCACTCTGGTGAGGAAAATGAGAGAAAACGATTTTCTTTTCTTTTCATTACAAATTCCTTGAACCAAACATGGTGTAGATGTTTTCTTGGGGAAATTTTGTCTCGAGTCCATCCATCCATTAAGGGTGTTTTTGGTCATAGAGGAGGGTTGGGAATGTGTTACCTCCACCCCAAAAAAAAAATAGGCAATGCTAATTTAACCACAAGGATACCACCAAGATTGACACCAACAGAGACCGTGACCCTCAAAGATACTTTTTTCGTCGTAAGACATCATTGCCTGTGAAATACTGGCAATACCAACCTTGGTGCCATCCATGGTGTAACTGTAGTATGACCCCAAACAAAATTTTGAACCAAATGAAGCGCGTCATTAGACACCTGGGGGGTGGGGGTGGCCTACACGGGGCCAAAAGAAGAAAACACTGCAGCAAAGGGAGGAAAAGATTTCGTTACCGGGTGGCGTTCCACAACACAGCCTGCGATCGTCAATGTGCATCACGTCGAGACCAATCAACCAAGAACCCAACGAAACATCCTCATTCGCATACTTGTGCAGCATATGCCTGTAACCAAAGGACACTGATCACTAACAACTCTGGTGTGTCAACTGAGTAAGAAAAGGGCATCAAACATCAACAAAACTGTGCTTTTATTAACTGGTTTGTGGAAATGTATATAGCCAAGTCTTTTGAGATCCCATATATTTGTCCCGTAGCGTGGCGGAAATATTTGTTTCCATATTCCCCGAATTTCCAGTACTCCGGTTCGTGGTACTTCACTCCCCTGTTCAACAACAACATTGAAAGTCTCTCAGTGTTTTTATAGACAATAATTTCTCATAGACAATGACTATATATGTGTGATTGTCCCTGATGGTGTCAACCTTAATGTCATTCCTGGGGCTAAAGTATAAATTTCCCAGAATTGTTGTTATTCTATTATTCGATTTCAAACCTTAATGCTATGTTTGGTTCGCGCAATTCGAAGGGAATGGAAAAGAAAATGATTTCTCTCCTTTTCCTCGTCAAAATGGAAGGAAAAGTGTTTTCCTTCTTACTTCATTTTCTTCTCTCGTTTTCTTTTCCATCCATTGTTCTTTTCTTTTTCTCCCTAACCAAACAAGAAAAACTGTTTTACATATCCTTTTCTTTTCCTTTTCAAATTCCTTGAACCAAACACAGTGTAACAGAAACTCATAAGTCAAATGACAAACAATAGTGAAGGATTTTCTCACTTCTGTGATAGGACCGGACCGGATTTCATGCACCCGATGTATACACGAGGTTTTTTACGGTGTCTTGCTAGTGTTTCCCCAAGTGTTCCTGCAAGAATACAACTAACTGAGTATAAAGTTGCACGTTTTTTTGTTTCGAATCTGAGGGCTTCTCCGGAAAAAAAAATCATATTGTTTCCCTAAATTGGTATTTTTTTATACTCGCAAGAAAATTTTTGTTAGTTACCTATATTTACAAGAACATCATCATCAACTTTGATGTAGTACTCTGCATCCCATAGCTTCACAGCAGTGGCAAAGTACATTTTGGTCTTGGCAGACAACTCAAGATACCCTTCCACATGATCCTACACATACAACAAGAGAACGTTTGATTTTCCACTCGTTAAGGGTCCGTTTGGATGGAGGAGTTGGGAAGATTTTGGGAGAGAATACTTAGGAAGACTTCGTCCTCCACAACCCATCCATCCAAACAGAGCTAAGACATAGGACGGGCGAGAGTGGATATAAAAGCTCAGACAAAGGTGTTTACCAGTCGCAAGAAATCTCCATGCTTGTTATCTTCAGAATCAATAGCTTTGTCAAGTATACCCCCTGGTGTGACACTACAAACAGATAAAAGTGATTCAAAAACAAAACCAAAAACCCCAGTAAAGTACTCCGTAGTATTTAAATATTATTATTTAGATTTAACAAATGAAGCGTAGCACGCGGATTTCAAAATGTGTAAGGAAAATGATGCAAAATAAATGAGAGTGTAGACCAACCCATGGCCAATGACGAAGCGAATTATAATTCCTTTCTCTTCTTCGAGTTTCTTCCTTTGTTCACCTAATGTATCATAACCAAAAAAATAAATTAAATAAACTTAAATAAATGAAGATGAGAACAAAAACAGCACATTGGCATAATGTCACGGGCAAGAAAACCTTGTGGCATCCATGTAGCACGGACAGAATCTCTTCGCTTTCTGCTGCTAAATGCAGTATTTATTCCTATGACCATAAAATATTTTCTTCGCTTTTTGTATGTGGGATTCTTCTCAGTGTCCTCTAACTCAGTAGCCACAGCCATCTCAGTTTCTAGGCTTGAAATGGCATTGTCCAATGTTCTGCAAAAAAAAGGTGTAAAGCTCATTGAGTCATACAACTATTAAAAAAAGAATCTTTATTAATAAAAAAAACCTCTCGTCGTCATACAACTATTAAAAAAGAATTTTTACTATTATGTGTATTCAGTTATCATTCACAAGTCAAGTCTTAAGCTATCATGTAAGAAAGAAATGGGATGATGGAAACTTACTTGATAGAATCATGTTTTCTAGAATCTTTCCCAAAGACACCTTTCAATGCTTTTATGTTCACCTACAAATCAAATGAGCCATTTCAATATCATTAAATTGTGAGTTATGGTTTTCTTAATTCAAATTTCAAAAAAAAGTCCAAAGGAAGCTGAGGGAATTCCAAGATCCTCACTCACATTGCAATCTTGTGATACAAGCTTCAAGCTTTCATCTCCAGAAGTAGGTGGTTTACTGATTTCTTGTGATTCATGAATGGACCATAATCTGCCAGAAATTAAAAATAGTCATTAGTTCTGGAAAGCTAAAAGGGAAAAAAGGAAGAAACTAAAGACCCTTGACACCTAAACATGTTTCGGATTTGATTTCCATAAAACCCTCCCAAATGTGATTGATTTGATTCCACCCAAACTCGGGAGATGCCGATCCGGGGGTTTGGATATCTCCCTCAACCGTCAGCCACACTCACCTATCACTAACAACCATAATCTCATCTCTCCGAACACTTCCATTTTAGATTTCAGAACGCATAACATTTTTTTAGATTTCAGAACCACATCATATTATTCATCTTTCGCTTACCATACGGGTCCAAAATGGTTTTATTAAAGCAAAATATATAAATTCAGGTCTCCCTCAACATTTAACATGCACATTTATAAGAGCATAAAATAATAATGTAATCAAATTGCTCTAAACATTCATGACTTGCTTACATTTTGATTAAATGGATGTTACCATTTTTTGTGAAAATTAAATTGACTCGAGCCATTTCAGCCAAAAACAAACTGGCCCTTAGACAATACTCCGCAAACAAATAGAACAAATTGCAGGTAAAAGGGGGCAAAAGCACCACAAACATCTTATTCCATGATTCCCAGTTTTCACAAAACCTCAAAATGATTCAAAGCTCAGAATTCTTTCAAGAAAGTACCAAAACCAGACCATATACAAATGGATTATTACTCCCACATAGTGGTATGAATTTGAAATTGTATTTTACAAATTTAAGAAAAAATAGATTTCAATACTCACAAAAAATATGAGATTTTAAACGAATATTCCACTACTGCATTTGCCACAGAAATTGGGTGATCCGTGTAAACTAAAAATTCTCTAGGATTATTACTGTAAAAATATTGAATTTCTGGGAAAGCCGGTAATAATTATGCAATCTTGGTATTTGCAAGAATTTTTCCTGAACTTCAAAAAAAATGAACTTTTTTACCTACTGGTGAAAAACACTCCGGCACAGAAACTGCTTATACACAGAAAAATGGTCCAATTTTTAGAAAGGCCGCTTCTTGAAACCTTCCCGCCGCCGGCGCCTCCGCCGCCGCCGCCGCCTCCTCCTCGGGTCTTCACAGACATTTCTAATCGGAAACACCCCTTTTTTTCTCAAAACCCCAGCTTGTTTAAACTGGGTTTGAGAATCAAAAAGGTTGAAAAATTTGTTCTTGGAGCAAATTATACACTGACACTACTTAAATATGACCAACCATTTGTCAGTAATAGGCTAAACAAAAGAGGATTCTTTGTTCTTTTTTTCTTCTTTGAAGAAAACTTTGCAGGTAAGGGACTTGGAAGAGAAGTGAGGGGGGGACTTACTAACTACCAGAAAATTGCTTTTCTTGAAATAACTCTCAGGTCCCTCTATTTTCAAAAAGGCAGCAGAGGTCCTTACATTTTGTTGTAATAACTAGAAGAGGACATTTCATCCAATATTTCATCTATAAACGTTAATAAATGTAATTTTTCCTATTCTTTTCTAAATGTTTTAAGGTAATAAATCTTAGGTCGCTCCTTTTTTTATTTCTTTGTTTTTCTTTCATTTTGTTACTATTTTTTAAAGTGTTATTTTAAAATTTCTCCTATAAAATCGTATAAAAATTTAAAATTGTTTATATTATATTAAAACAAATGAAATAAAAAAAAATTCTAAAAAAAGAAATAACAAGGTAATGGCAAAATAGGAAAAACGGTATTGGAAAAATAGGAAAAAAATACATTTATTAACACTTACGAATGATGTAGTGGATGAAATGTCCCCTCTCAGTCATTACAACAAAATGTAAGGACCTCTGCTGCCTTTTTGAAAATAGAGGGACCTGAGAGTTATTTCAACAAAACTCGCGTCACCTACGAGTAATTTTCTGTACTAACTACTGCCTGAGATCGCATAAGAATTTACCATTCTGTCCTCGTTGAAAGTCAGAACAGTTACCAATTTACTTTTTTTTGAGGAAAGTTACCAATTTACTTACCATGATCATTTATGTGCCATTTGTAATGACTGTAATAAATATGGCAGTTTAAGATCAATTTATTTATGCATATGTCTTTAGGTGAAAAGTTCTATTCACCATATAGTTCAAGAGGGTATGTAGATTTTTGTGGGTTTCCCTTTCACTAGATGACTTTTGACCCATTAAAGTTTACTGTTGGGTAATTAAAAGTAACACTGGGATTGGGTTACATAAAAAAATACGGAGTAATTTGAGAATAGGAAAGGGAATTAAACCTTGACAAGGCTAGGCTGATGAGCTGATCACGGATGAGAGAGGCAAGTTAAATGTGGATTTCTATATTTTTACTTGGCATATTAAAGTTTAATTTATTTCCTTTAAAAAAGATTCTTCTGGGATTTTTTAGGAATGATATGAACAAATAGTACTCAAAAAAATTGTTGAGTTTGTTCTTTGACATATTATCAAAGTCTTACAAATCAAGAGATCGCAAGTTCGAATCTCACAGTCATTTAATCTAAAAAATACTTCGTAATGTTTATGTTGATTCAAAACTCGAACAAAAGTAAATCTCACGTGTGAGGAAACGGTTGCGAAATCGGAATCGAGAAATATAAGTGTGATTCTAGTTTATCTATTTTGGAAACAAAACCGACGATTTTGGTTCTGACTTCCCGTCCATTTTAGTTTTTTGTATTTACAATTTAATATTAAATTAATTTTATTAAAATAAATAGTATATATTTGTTCAATCCATTATCGAATTGTAATTTTTGCTAAATATATTTACTTTAAAAAAAATAATAATCCTGAATGAATCAGAAGTAGAATCGTCGATCAACCCAATCCGGTATTCAACTGTCATACAAGTTTTAGAAAAACTCATGTTTCTCAACTTGGAATCCGGCATTCATACCGAAAATTGTTAGTTTTGAACTTGGAATCGGACCATGTCCACCCTCGTTGAGTGGTGGTATGAATGAAAAAAAGGTACTGCTGTTAATAAAGATGACGTTAAATATCTAAAGGTCCCTCAGTACCGGCTTAACCGTTCGCTGAGAGAAGATAAATTGAGCTATAATCTCATTAATTTGGCGTAAAGGTGGGGTTTCGTGCATAGGAATCGGATTCTGTACTTGGTATTTGCAGAGGCCTCATGCTTTGCATGGTTGCCTCTCATCGCGGTCACCAGGCTTCAAACTCGAAATCTCTTCCCTATATTATCATTATGCTAACCGATGAGCTATGTCTTATTGCACCATTGGTGGATGCTTTTATCAAAGATTTGTGAAACTAACAAAATACTACTAGTGCTACTTTTGTGAGGTTTAATCAAAATAGGAATGGGAGATTGACTTTTTTGGCGTTATGGTTGGTAATCCAACAAATGTGTGAAATCAAATGGCGCTTTTGGTGTTTCAAAAAAAATGGCGCTTTTGGACAAATTAGTTGCTCTTAATCCCTTTTTTAACCTTTCTTTTTATAAACATTGAATAAAAACACGGCCATTGAACAAAGACATTACCACAATGAAGTTGACTTAAACATTACCAACTACAAGACTTTTTGATATGATAATAGTAATGTTTTCAATTGATGTTAGTATTTTTATTTATTTTTCAATGATCAAATTAACTATAAAAAAGCAAAACTTGGGCACTTCTATTAGATTGTATGAAAAAATATCGAATACAGAGAAACAGAAAGTGGTTAAAATTTTAAATGTATTTAAATGAAAATTATGTTGGGCTATATTTTCTTTTCTAAAAAAAGAAAAAAGAAAATTATTTTCGAACATACGAAAAAATAAAATACAAAAACTTTTGTGAATGGAAGTAGGCTTTTGTTTGAAATGTTTCAAGTGTATGTTCTTTTTTTACACGTTACTACATTGAATTAATCTAGGGGTACACTAACATGGGATACCCATTTGTACAGCAAGCAAGCTAACACAGACGCATAATGTCTATGTCTGCACAGACATTTTATGTTCTATGTCTATATTAGCTTGGTGTACAGATGACCTCATGTTGGTGTACCCCTAGCATTGCCGCCCTACTACATTTATACGCACCACTTTTTTTGCAAGTGATAGAGATATATTGAAAAGATTAGAATAAAAGGGTTTTTTTGTACAAAAGATCATTCAATTCAACTATGCAAGACAACATGCTCTCACTTAATCAAGTACAACAATGCCATCCTTCAGCATAAACACCTCTGTCTTTTTTAAAAAAATTCTTATTTCCACATTAAAAAACAAGAGAAAAACAACACTTTTCTGAATTTTTTTTGAGCTTTACTTTTCTGATAATTGATGCTTCACTCGAGCTTTACTTCCCTCTTTGGTGGATCCAGCTGCAAATAAGTGTATGGCTCTGTGGGCTCTTCCCTGCAATGCCAATAAAAATAATACAGAGTAATAAAATATCAAAATGCTAGAATAACAACTTTGACACCACGGATGACAAGCGTATGTAAATTTTGTATGCACACAAGAGATGATCCAATGTGAATTCTGTGTATTCAGACACGATATATTTTGTGTGTGTACAAATTTACAAATGATTGTCATCTGTGGTGTCTAAATAACTAAATTGGTGTTGTATCCCCCTCAGTTCTAAGCCCATTAGCAAAATGAGCAACTTGATGAAATGTCAACTCAAAGTGCAGAATGATTGATTATTGTACCCGGGGTTAGAACGCATACATTGCCAGAACAACTTGAAAGGGCCGGGAACTGTTTTGAATGGGTTCCCTTCAAAACATGCCTGAAAAAATGTTGAAGATATATAAAACAAAATCACCCAAAAAAAAGTCCCAAGAGAATCATTGATTAGTAAGGATCCTGCGACTTTCAACAACAATGGCAACAAGCACAGTTTAATCTCAAGCCCATTGGGGAGGTTTTCCCAACATTTTACACAAACCTCTGCCCCATAAATAGTCTTTCTTGTGCAATTTGGAATAGGAAGAGCAAGGAAAAGCCGTCGTTCTGCTAAACAAGCTGTATTGAACTCATAATTCATTAGATGCTTTTGCTAAATGTCAACTTCTCTTTATATAACCAATAAAACCGGATAAAAGGGATTATTTTGTGGGGGAAAATTGGGCTTATCAATAGTGGAATATGTGCTTGTGAAACGGGTTTGGAGATCAAGATGGGGGCAGCCATACCTTTAAAAAAACAGAGAGGCCGCCTCCGTTGGAAATTCTTTCTTTTTACAGATTAGTTAAATATAGTGTAGATGATACTATGATAGACAGATCCATTGATTCACTGGCTAAATCGTAAACGAATAGAACCGATAGGTTTTAGCATTTTCCTTGTGTGTGTATGCTTCACTACTATTTCAACACATTTAATCATTCAAGTATCAATTCCCCTTTCACAAATACATTTATAGTGTTTAATCTTCCAAAATAGCAACAAGACCTAAAAGTGGTTCTTGTGAACTATTTGTATTTCACAAATCATGTATTCTTCCGAACTACTTCGGGAGAAAACAAGATAAACTTAGGTACATAAGAATATAATAAACTTAGGAACACGTGGACATTAAGGATTGTAGCTTGGGTAGACATGTGAGTCTTAGTTCTGTTGGTGTGTTTTTATGTCTTAGTCTGAGCTGTTGTTAGGCACACCACACGGCAAAAGCAAATCCTAAATCCAAACAACAATTTTATTTCAACAACTCAATACAAGAAGTGGAAGATGAAGAAGAAGAAGAAGAAAAGAGGGAAATATCTAGATTCAAAGAGGTTCAGTTACTTGGATGACATCCTCAGCACGGTCGTTGCACCTGTGGGCTTTTGGTTGTCTGGTGTCACCTTCAGGTAAACCCCACGGACTCTCCCTTCTAGGTACAGCTCTTTCACTCATCTATCCTTCTTGTAATCTGTTCGCCGGTCAAAATATTTGTAAAATATTTATAAATCAAGACAATTTGAACTTAACTTTTCAGTTTCAATGTTAATTCAGATAAACTTCAACTAAGCTTTCCCTCCCTTCAGATTAATTCTACAACTCCGTAATCAATAAATTACCCTTCACTAAAACATGGATAATCACATTGAATTACATTTAAGTCACTAACAAAGATTTTGCTCATGAATGCAATAGTAGTCTGTCAACTAATTGACTAAAAGGGTGGCCTAGGGCACAAAGGCTGCGTTCCGTTCAACTCATTTTTTTAGCTTATACCAGATCTTCAAAAAAATCAAATCAGATCACGCGAGCGGAATGCAGCCAAAGTGTCCTCGCGAGCCGGGTCTAAGGAAGGGTCCCACACTCCCACCACAAGAGTTTAATGTAGGCAAAGCTTACCCTGCATTTCTGCAAGAGTCTAATTCCAAGACTCGAATATGTGACCACACGATCACACGACAACAACTCAATTGTTGTGCCAATGCTCCCCTTCTTATCAACTAATTGACTAATCCCAATTAATTGCCCAAAACACCCTCGAATTTCTAATAGGGTAACACACTGACACAAGACACAGTTTGTTTTGATCATTGGCTGACCTTCTTCACATATACAGAGTAAATATTTTCTTTAAATTAGCAATAAATATAATTTATTTTATTTTTAGTACACTAATTTCAGCAACTTCATCAATGTCAATTGCAACTTTACTTCAGTATCATAAATTGGTTTGCTGCGAGTAAAAAACGTATTATTGGTATGGCTGATAAGCTAGAAAAATGGATACCAACAGTTACTAAGAGAAAGAACTTAAATTTCTATGTAAACTTCACATCGATTGACGCAAACAATACAAATTACACTAAATCAATCGATCAAGAAACTCAATACAATCGATAGTTTAATCACAGTATAAAATCAGAAACGCCATTGATACAAGGAATAGAGACGAGAGAAGAAATGAACATACTTTGATTCAGCCCTAAACAAATACGGACCAAGAGCGTACGAGGTCCCTATTTCGCTATTTGCGGTATGCAATTCAAATAAGGGTGCCCTTCTTCCGAAGGGAGCAGAACTATATCAACTTTTTCTTATATCTTTCAAAAATAATAATGCACTTTTCTGCATAGCAATTATAAATTTACTAAAATTTGTGAGTTTTGGATCCGTGTGAAATTGCTAACAATGGGTTAATGGAAAGAGTCTGTTTTATGTAACAAAATGAAAGTTTAAATTATTTTTGATTACTTTTTGTTATTTAATTTTTTTTTGAAATTTTCTTTTAAATTTTTAAAATTACATTCTACCTTCTTTTTTTATAGATTAGTCTTACTTTTTAAAAAATAAAAAAAATAGATATAAAAAAAATAATGAAAATGAAAAACAACTAAAACTATACAAAATTAATGAAATAAATAAGGTAATCAATAGAAACTAACTCGAAACTGATAAGAAATAAAATAAAAATATACGGAGTGTTGGGTTTAATATTTACACGCACTATACAAAGTATTGATGTACAACTTCTTCTTATATTTTGGAAAAAAATGTCTAGAATAATTTTAACTTTACCGGTCGGCCTATTCGTCAAAAAAATAAGTAGTACTTTAAGATTTTGTATAGTGCGTAAATAAAGCCACCACTCCATATATATTTATATTATTTCTTACCAATTTTAGTGTAATTTGTATTGATTACCTTATCTATTTCATTAATTTTTATGGTTTTAATTGTTTTTCTCATTTTTTATATCTATTTTTTTATTTTTTCTAAGGTAAGGCTAATCTTTAAAAATAAAAGGATGCGGAAAGTAATTTTAAAATTTTAAATGAAAATTTCAAAAAAAAAAAACTAAAAGACATAAATTCATCAAAAATAATCTCAACTTTAGAAAGATTGGTGAAGAAATGGGAGAGAATGGGTTTCTTATATAGCAAGAGGAAGGAGACATTCTTCCTCGCGTCATTCATATTGTGTGTTCAGCGTAGTGGAAGGAGCGGCGATTCCTACAGATTTAAAACGTAAGCCCCTAATTGGGACTAATTTTAGTTTGAGTCGGGGTACAATTTTTTGTCCAACTTTCTCCGAATTGAAATCCGCTTGCACCGTTGTGATCAGACAGTTAAACTCTATCCAACGATATACTTTTTATATTTATTTGTAATACTTTTTCTGTCATCATGTTTTTCAATGTTTGACTTTAACAGAGTCAAAATTGATTTAATTGATCTTTATTAAAAAAGGTTCTTAAACTGGTTTGTACTCAGGTTCCCAATCACGATCACACAATAAGTCACCATATTAGATTTATCTCTATGAGATTTTATCTAGATTGTGATATTGGATATCAAAACATATTTCATTTCGACCCAAAATCCAACAATAGTTTTTTTTGATAAAAACAAATTTGATTAATCTAATAATTATTCATTAATAATTCTAGGATATGTTTTGGGGATTTACAAGTCTCGGACACGCTTGCTTCGGAGTTTACATTGACGTAGGCATTAGGCTAAGGTAATATATATCATGTGTTCATTGCTTTACCCTTCACTTTCTCTTGTTGGTAGTGTGTTGCTTTGTTAGAGGTTTTTATCAAGAACGCTTTCGCGAAAAATTGAAAATTTTGGACAATGCCTCTATTCACATCATCCCCTCCTCCTCTAGAGGTGTGTGTGGTATCAGAGATGGGATTTCTCAAAGTTTCACCGTTGAATTTTTTTTAAAGATCATGGCCGGAAGATCATTCAATGTCAGAGTTATTGAAAGACAATCTACAACAAGGCTACCATTTTTCGACAACGCCGATTTTGCTTATTATTATAAGGAGAGGTTGGGAATCTTCACTCAATAAAATGATTTTGATTCGTGGTTGGTGATCAAGCACGATGACTCTGTGCCAATGAAAAGGTGACTATCAAGGGAGAATATGCATAGTACCCTCTTTGTCTAAAAAAAACTTTACAGTTTAATTTTTTTGGTCAAATTATGTAACACTTTAAGGGTGGTGATAACCACACCCGGCCCGCTAAAATACTAAATACACCCGTAACTAAATACCAATGTTCTCAAAACCGAACCAGATGTTGACCCAGACGATGTATTGAGTCAAGGGTTGACTCGGACCGGTCAAACCCAAGGTCATCAACCCGGTCAACTATATTTATAATAATAATATTTTATGTTATATTTTAGATATTTTTAGTCAATAAAAGTGTCTTAGTTTGCGTTTTTATTTCTTGATCTAGTTTTTAATATTATACTATTTCACACATTCAACTTTTTATCTAATCTTTACACTTTGAAAATATGAGTAAAAGTATGTTAGATATTTTTAGATACATTTTTAATATATTTATAATAATAATATTTTATGTTATATTTTAGATATTTTTAGTCAATAAAAGTATTTTAGTTTGCATTTTCATTTCTTGATCTAGTTTTTTAATTTTTATATCTAGTGATACAATGAAGATATTGGGTTCGATTCCCACCTTCGCTTCGATTTTTAAATATTAAAACTTAATAAAAGAAATAGGCTTAGGCTTAAAACCCGTGACCCATCTGGATCAACCCGAGTCACCCGATTTGTCGGTTTCTATGGATTTGGTCGGTCAATTAGAAATCGAGTTTACCAGTTTACCGATTTGTATAATTGTATCCAGACATCCGGGGTTCAGGGTTTAACCGGGTGGACCGGCTCGCCCGATCCGATTCCCAAAACACTGCTAAATACACCCCATATATATTATTATGCTATTTTTCGAACAAGTTATATAACTTTATTATATTAAATAAATATTATAAACCAATGTTTAAAATTATTCATCATTTATTTCATTTTATTATTTTTCATATAAAATAATATATTTTTTAGTTTTAGTTTTAATTATAAACTTTAACGCCTCTTCTCTTAATTTTTCATTAATTAAAATAATTTTCATTGTTAATACATTGAATGACCATTGGTTTTGTATAAATTTTTCTAAGCATTATATGAATACCTATTTTACAATTTTTTAATCTACATAGTTATTTTATTATTTTAAAAATATGGTTATATAAATTTTACTTAAATACGGAGTATAATCTTTAAAATTATTCACCATTATTCTCTTTTATTTAATTTCAAGAGAAAAAATCTATATAAATGTTAATAAATGTGAATTATTATTAAAACTACAACTTTTATTTTAAAAGATATCATATTTAATAATTAACAAAAAATACTCCATATTTAGTAGAATAAAATATAATTATTATTAAACTATTATTATATTATGATTCAAACTAGAAGTTTTATCAAATCTTAAAATTGCAAATTTTGTTATATGAGTTAATAAATGTGAATTATTATTAAAACTACAACTTTTATTTTAAAAGATATCATATTTAATAATTAAAAAATACTCCACATTTAGTAGAATAAAATATAGTTATTATTAAACTATTATTATATTATGATTCAAACTAGAACTTTTATCAAATCTTAAAATTGCAAATTATGAGTTCATGGATTGAAAATAATTTTTTAAATTAGTATTGAAAATAATTTTGAAACTAATAGAGTGAGTTTAATGTGTGGGGTGAAGTTAGTGTTTGGTTGGGGTGTGACTATCACCACCCAGACTTTAACTACATTAAATATAGTTTTAAATTATAATGTTGTAAAAATGTGATATATCAAAACTATATTTTAAAATAAACTCAAATTGACTAAGCTTATGTTATAACTAAATATAATTTACTCATAGTTTAGGGTCAAAGTGTTACATTTTGATTTAAAAAACTAAACTATGACGATCTTTTTTAAACAAAGAGAGTACTTTAATTAACAGAAAATAAGTACTCTCTTCGCCGCTCGAACAACGTATAAAATCTCATCTATTTAAAATTAATTTATTTAGAAATTGCTATTGAAATACAAATATAAATTACACATTTTTAAAATGCATACTTTTTTTATAAAATAAGATATAACAAAAATATTTTATTTTATCAAATAATTAATGAAAATATATAAGTGAATAAAACTTATTGAGATGCTATAAGAGTAAGAGAAGTGAGAAATGAAATACTTTTTTTTAATAAGGAGTGGTTTGAATTTTATACGGATTATATAACGTACCATTTATTGTTTTTCTATTTGTAAAATAGAGCCATTGCACCAAACAATACGCCCGTAGTAGTAAATTAATTGCTCTTTTACCATATCCTCCGCACTCAAAGAACAAACCACTAAAATATCGCCTCCTTCTACAAACTATCCTTCCCTCCTACCATTTTTTTCATAATTATTATTTACAATAGGTAAATTTTAATTAATTTTTTTAAACATATTTTCTTTACTTATTTGATAAATTATTATTATCATGTAAACAATAAACTTTTATTTTATAATTTTTTAATGTAGTTTTAAAGTATGGAGTATAATTTTTATCTTTTAATTTATACCTATTATTAAATAAATTGAATTAAAAAGATCAATCAAACCTCATAAACCAAAAATAGAAATGACAAATATATTTTATTTTATCAAATTATTAATAAAAATATATAAATAAACAAAAATTATTGAGAACATACAATAATATCCGAAAAATTTATTTGTGGACAAATGAATTATTTTCTTAATTCCTTTCATCCCATCCACCCTCACCCCGCGCTTCCGTCCACCTTTCACTAGACTCCCATTCCCACGCGCATCCCACCTCAGTCCATGCCTCACCATCTTACGCCACTTGACACTCCGTGTAACTCGCCTTTGTCCCCTCTCCCTCCACCTTGCCGCTCGCTCCCTAAAATATTATTTAAATTTGTCTCAAAACATGTTTTTTTATACCTATCAATTTTCAAATATCAACAATAGAAAATTGTTTAAAAAAAATCTTTCAGCCAACAATGAAAATTTTGATGAAAAAGTAATATTAAAGGAAAATAAATTTCCCCTAAAAATACTCGTAATTTTCCCTTGGAAATTATTTTTCCTTACAAGTACTTGTACTCCCTTCATCTCACAAAATTTTTCTGGTTTTGACTTTTAAATAATTTGAAGGGAGTGTATTTTAATATTGATTTTCTAAAAATGTCTTTATATGTGATGAGTAAAAGTATATATGATGAATACGTTAATAGTCAAAGAATGTGATGTGATAAGTATATTAAAAATTAGTAAGAATAAAAGTGAATTTTTAATACAAATAAAAAATGTTTTTTGGACGGATTAAAAAAGATAACATGAAAATTTCATTCATCTGACCGAAGAGGGAGTAATTTTTTGGAAAAATATTTGTATGAAACCTAACAACTCAGGTAAAAGAAAACCAAAAGTCTATACTCCGCATTTACTACAGAGGCCTATAAAGCCAAAAATCTCCTAGAGTGGTGCTGCCTCCCCAACTGTTGACGACCGGAGATGGCATTATCTCCCGTCGCTTCAACAGCCTCCTGCGGCGGCGACCGTTTCTCTTCCCGCGCTTTCTCGCCTCCAGTGAGCTACAATGCCACGTCGGTGAAGTCGCCGTCCTCCTTCCCCGGCGTTTCGGTGTTTCCTCCCTATCTGCGCTCTTCTCGTCTCAGGTAAGCCGCGGCCCTTTGTATTCCGAATTCTAATCACCTCTGTAGCTTGATTTCTCAGTCACAATGTTGATTGTAGTTGCCTGAGTTTAGCTTCAACTTGAAATTATCTACTTGTGTTTCTCCCCCTCTCCTTCATTTTTCTTCTGTTGTCTTTGCTGAAGCATTGAGATTAAAAAAAATTCGCCGCAGAAGTGATTGTAGTTCACGCCGGTTATGTTATTGTTGCAGAAATGCCTGTAATTCCAATTGGAGTGCAAGAGTCCTGTCAGATTCTCACGAATCTATCGCAATTGCAGGTATATCGACTGTCTACTCTAATTTCCATTGGAGTTGTTAGGTTAAGGAGTTTCTATATAGTCCCTCTATCCCAAGAAAAAAGAGAGTGCAAATGTCCTTTAATTAATTTTTTAAAGAAAGAACTGTATGGTTCATATAATTGTAGTTCTCTCTCCCTAGTATAAACCTCAATCATGATTGAATTGTGTGCAGAAGAGAGGAAAATTGTGTGAACCATGCAATTTCCTAATCAAAGAAGGAAATGTTAAACCTTTTTATGTGATTCAGGAAGTATATTTATTTATAACTTTGTCGGTCAAATGTAGTCCCTTATTTTGGGACAAAGGGAGTGTGTATGTATTTAGTTAAAATCTCTTATTTATGTTGCCTTCTACTTTAACACTACTATAAACCTTAGATAAAAATCAGTTTCCCAAGGGTGAAGGCTGGAGCGTTCACAAATTTGGCGGCACTTGTGTTGGAAGCTCCGATAGGATACAAAATGTTGCTGATATAATAATCAATGATAAATCAGAGGGAAAGTTGGTTGTTGTGTCTGCAATGTCAAAAGTGACCGATATGATGTTTGATTTGATTTACAAAGCACAATCCCGCAACGACTCATATGTGAGTGCACTGCATGCTGTTCACGAGAAACACAAGTTGACTGCATTAGATTTACTTGATGGAAAGGATCTTACAACTTTCTTGTCAAAACTGGACTCTGACATCAACAAGCTCAAAGTGATGCTCCAGGCATTATATATAGGTTTCTCTCTTTCTTACTCCTTTCATGCACAACGTTTTTTGCATGCCAAGTTATTACAACAATTCATTTGCACCTAAACGTTTAACACTTTGTTGGAGTAATCTGTGCAAGAGATCATTAACAAGGCAATAGCTAATAATCTCAAATTTGTACTGTTAGAAAGTTGTTCTTGAAGCTTTATCTTTAAGCTTGTCGAATCTACTGCATTTTTATCCAGTTTATTTTCCTGGTTGAAGACCCTTAAGAAATACAGAGCATACTCCTTCCATTCCAATATTAAGTTTGTGTTTTGGTTGAACAATGAGAGCATTATATCATATATATGGGTCTTCACTTCAATATAATTATTGGCTTACACTAATATATGTCGTGTTAAACTTCACTTTTTTGCAGTATTTAACCCACTTTAGTACCAAACGATGTTCAAGCTTTATCTTTTTGGTTTGACCTTTAACTTGAGGATTTTTTATGTTGCAGCGGGTCATTCAACAGAGTCACAATCAGATTTTGTTGTTGGGCACGGAGAGCTTTGGTCTGCTCAATTGCTATCCTTGGTTGTCAAAAAGGTTATTCCATAAATTTTTTCCCCAGATTACTAGTTCAACTGTTACAAATAAAGCTGGTCCAAAATGTCTGCTGTTTTTTGGGCATGTTGCTGCAGAATGGAGGGAAATGTGCATGGATGGACACCAGGGAGGTCCTTGTTGTGACTCCTACTAATTCAAATCAAGTTGATCCCGATTATATGGCATCGGAGGAAAGACTTGACCACTGGTACTCTAAAAACCCATATAAGACAATCATTGCAACTGGTTTTATTGCGAGCACACCCGACAACATACCTACTACTTTGAAGAGAGATGGCAGCGACTTTTCTGCTGCTATTATGGGTTCTCTTGCTAGAGCAGACCAAGTTACAATATGGACTGATGTTGATGGTGTTTACAGTGCTGATCCAAGAAAAGGTTGATTAAATAGAATACTATTAAGCTTCTTTCCGTTAAATTGCATAACTGCAAGAACTTTTTTGTCTGCTATTCTAGATAAAGAGAAGATGATGAATAATGAAAAATTATTGCTTGTGCAGTTAGTGATGCTGTGATACTTAAGACATTAACCTATCAAGAGGCATGGGAAATGGTGAGTTCATCAGTTATGTGTCCAGCAACTATTCTATAACTTTATAACTTAAATGCGCTTTCTTTTTGCAGTCATATTTTGGTGCAAATGTCTTGCATCCTCGAACAATTGTTCCTGTTATGCAGTACAAAATCCCCATTGTAATAAAGAATATCTTCAACCTTTCTGCGCATGGAACAATAATTTGTCAGTCTAATGGCAATCAACATCATGACAGGCAGCAGTCAGAATCTCTTGTCAAAGGATTCGCAACAATAGACAATATAGCTCTAGTGAATGTTGAAGGGTGAGAATGAACCTATTTCACTTGTTATTTGTTTTCTATTTGTTGCATTTTGTTGGCTGCAAGTTCCCTTTGCAGAACTGGAATGGCTGGTGTTCCTGGTACAGTTAGCACTATTTTCAGTGCAGTGAAAGATGTTGGAGCTAATGTTATCATGATATCACAGGTATCCTGGTATCTATGTTTTTTGTGCAAGTCAAATTGCTTTTGTGTGTACACTTATCTTTGACCATGGACTAGTATGTATTATCCAGGCTAGTAGTGAGCACTCTGTATGCTTTGCTGTACCAGAAAAAGAAGTTAAAGCAGTTGCTGAAGTTTTAGAATCCAGATTTTCTCATGCATTGGGTGCAGGACGTCTTTCCCAGGTTTTATTGGAATTTATACCCCACATTTCTGTTGATATATAACATTGCATAATGCATGCCTAGTTGGTTAGTTTCATGCTGGCTCCAGTACCTTACTGAGTTTTAAAACAGAGAACAGCTATATATTTTATTGGTTATTGTGGGTTTAGGGTGAAAGTTCTGTGAAAAAAAAGATTTTGAACACTGGCATGAAATAATGTTACTACACTATTAAATAATGTGCTTTTTTCAGATTTCAATTATCCCAAACTGTAGCATTTTAGCAGCAGTTGGTCAAAGGATGGCAAGTACACCAGGAGTTAGTGCTACACTTTTCTCTGCACTTGCGAAGGTACAGAAGCTTAACTCCCCTGGACTTGCTTTGAAATATCATGAGTTCATGATGCTTCTATAAGTCGTAATTGATAGACATCAAAACTTTGAAAACTGGCATGTTGATACACAGGCCAATATCAATGTACGTGCCATTGCTCAAGGTTGCTCAGAGTACAACATTACAGTAGTCGTTAAACGAGAAGACTGTGTAAGGGCTTTACACGCAGTGCACTCAAGATTCTACTTGTCAAAAACAACAATTGCAGTTGGTATTATTGGACCTGGTTTAATTGGTAGTACATTGCTTGACCAGCTGAAAGATCAGGTATACCAATTACTTTGATTGCCACTTGTCAGTCTTACGCATTGTTTTGTTCACCTTTTTGGTTTTCTAATTGCGTACCTTTTTTAAATCACATTACAGTAGACCACATGAAACATTTGTATACCAGACAGATTTCCAAACAAGAAAAACTAGACTAGATTATAATAATTTATATTAAACCAGAAACATTCACAGTAAAATTCATACCAGACCAATTCAGATCACATTACTTCAGCGCTCAGGCGAAGAAATTATAAACATAGTAGGTGCTTATTTGAACTCTAAGAAGTAAGAAGGTCCCACACACACTCCATCTTGTGGGGTCACAACTTACATTGCCTTCACATATGGCATCCTTATTAGTTTTTACATGTGAATATTAATCACTGTGGTTTACTTGTTTTGTCTATGACTTTGCTTTTTTTATGCATTGTAACTCTATGTTGGGTTGTTGTACTGGGATGTTGTGGTTGTTTGACTCTATGCCCAACATGTATGAAAAATAAGCAGAAGAGATCTCATAACCCATTGGTTGAAAACAGAATGAATGATTATTCAGTCTTTTTTCTTTCAAGAAGTTCTCATCTTCACTAATCATCATAACAGACAATTAAGGGAACATTTGGTTCAAATATTGGGTTTGGAATTGGAAGTACAACCAGATAACTAGTAATTGGAATGAGTATTGGTAAAACTAGTTGTTTTCTTAGGTAGTAACTGTGAACTATAGTTGGAGTCTAAAATATTAATTAAGTGCATAGAGTAAATATTTTTTGGGCCTAACGCACTTCCAAAGAGTTCTCAAGAGGTGATGCTGTGAACCACATGAGAATTTTGTATCGGGTCCTTTAAAATGAAAACATGAACTGAAATATGGGGCGGAGGGAATATTACATAAATGTATGTGTGCATGCGCACACACACCCACCTTCCCACTTTCTCTCTCATGGACTCCATTTCATTTAGTTTTTTTCTTTTCATCTTGTAGTTGAAATTTGAAAACCCAAGTAGTTTGTGGGCAATCTAATATGCTAATACTCTGTTCATGCTCTCGACATCCAGATTTTGAATATCAAATATGTGGTGCATTTCTCTTTACAGTTTACAGTCCTAAACTAGTATATGTGAACACCCTCTGAATATGTATCATCATTGTTTCATGGCAGGCATCATTCTTAAAGGAGAAGTTTAATATTGATTTGCGTGTTATGGGAATTACTGGATCAAGGAAGATGCTATTGTCTGGGAAGTAAGTAATTAAACTCTGATGCAAATATGGAATCCTTTTTCACTACATTATCAGCAGCAGTTTTAGTTTTCTAGGACCCTTCACTATGCTCACTTTTTTGCCAGGGCATGTATATTATACTAGAGATATTATATTATACTAGCATTTGAGTGATATTCTGTTCAAGTTTCTTCATTTAGTGACTGAAACATCCTTCTTGCTGTTCATAGTGGTGTTGACTTGACAAAATGGAAATCACTGCTAAGTGAAAAAGGAGAAGATGCCAACTTGAAGAAGTTTGCACAACATGTTCGTGAAAATCATTTTGTCCCAAATACTGTTATTGTAGATTGCACTGCAGATTCTTATGTTGCGAGCCATTATTATGAATGGCTGCAAAGAGGAATACATGTGATTACTCCAAACAAGAAGGCTAATTCAGGACCACTTAACCAGGTAAAGTGGGAAAATGCATTAAGATTTGAATCACAGGGTTAAGTTTTTTTTTTTCAATTATCTGCAACTGTTTTAATAATTAGTGGCATTTCTCTTTTTGTTTTTTCATAGTTTTATTAATAATCTCTGATACTATGACCTTAACTTAAACTGACCACTTGTCCCTTTAAACTTTATATAATAGGACTAGTGGGTAAATTTGCTTCTATTCTGTTATGTGTATTCTGTTCCACCATCCTTGACTCCTCAAGTTCGCAACTATCAAATATGTCTACTTGGTTACTTGTCTGATATATTTCGCAGCAAGTAGTCCTTTAATTATACAAAACTAGGCTCTGTTAATCAACCCATGCTAGACTCCATCTAAATTCGATGATAGTAGCCATTTTTATAGTATGGTATTAATAGTGCTTAGATGAATAGGTGGGAAAAGTAAAATATGGTACTATTAACTGTACTGTATTTCATTCAAAAGAAACTGTACTGTATTATTAATCCCATAAACATTTCCCTATTTGGCCATTTGGGGCAGTAGGATATGATAATATTCTATACAGGTGTTTAGCGTGTTTCTCTGAGCAGGTTCACTAATTGGACCACATACAGTAGTACCCTTGAAGGTGTACAACATATCCAACCACGTGGATCATTTAAGGCCACATTTTATAAACAGTAACGCTATCAACACCTTTTTTTAGAATTTTTATAACTAGAAGTTAAAATATAGATGATACTCCGTATGTAGGTATGGTATTAGCGTAAATTGTCTAATGTCGTACTCTAATACTATTGGGTCTTTTAGTCAAATATTGACCCAAACATTGTATTAATATTAATATACTATACGGCATAGTATAATCCAATAGAGCTAATCACATCCAATATGTCGTGCCATCCATACCAAAAAAACACTTTCTATATTTCTGACCAGTGGTCGCCTTCCGACAAAAAGCTGTTTTTGCCATCATATCTAAAACAAAATGATAATTGATTAATTGAGAATGCATCATCAAGTAAATATTTAATTAATTAGTTTTCTTTTTAAAATCCATTTTATTGTTCCAGTATTTAAAACTGAGAGCTCTTCAACGTCAATCCTATACTCATTACTTCTATGAAGCTACTGTTGGAGCTGGCCTACCAATTATTAGTACCTTGCGTGGTCTTCTTGAAACTGGGGACAAAATATTGAAGATAGAGGGGATTTTCAGGTTTGTACAACTGCATTTTGCAATGCTACTTCATCAATAGTTATCTTTTGTTAAGACCATGGAATACTACAACATTTACAATTTAGCCTCATCATGAGAAATAATCCAATTTAGTTTTGAATTTTCTCTCTATATGAGGATGAACATTTAATTTGAGTAGAGTGGGATGATGTACACAAAAAGTAATAGAAGTTAGCATTTTATTTCGAGTATTTATCCTTTCCATAACCATCTGTTTTTCCGTGATAAATATGTGCAGTGGAACTTTGAGTTATATATTCAACAACTTCACGGGATCACGGGCTTTTAGTGAAGTGGTCAAGGAGGCAAAAGAAGCTGGTTATACAGAACCAGACCCAAGGGATGACCTATCTGGAACAGATGTTGCGAGAAAGGTATAGTTTTTTTGTCTTTCATAGTTTCATATGCTTCCACTTAATACCCATTGAGAGACACCGAGAGATGATAATTTTTTTTTTTTGATGTATTTTTTTAATATATTTTTTGGGGGGTGGTGAAGAGTTCATTTGTCCTTTTTGTGACCACCTTCACCGCTGGCAATGGTTGTCAGTGACGCTGCCATCGAGGTTAGCATGGTGAAGTTTTGCTTATTTTCGTAGCCACGAAATAAAAATTCTGCTATTTGGAAAAGTAATTTTATGGATAGATTTGATATTTGTCCTTAAAAAATGTTTAGTAGATTAAATGGTCTGTATTAAATGCATCATGGACGTTAGATTTTATTTATGAGTTTTAATGGATTTAAAATGGAATTTAAATATTGTTCAAATTTGTCCGTTATGAAGCAAAACTCAATAATTCTAATACATTCTGGTGTACACATGACATTTTGAGAGTTATTTTACCTATTTTCACCAGCACTGTAAAGTTATCTAGCCCATAATACTAAAGTAAATAGTAATATGATTACTCTGAAAACATCCTTCCAAGTGTTCACTAAAATGTCCACTTTCTCTAAAATAGTTTCCTTGTCAATAGGTGATAATTCTTGCAAGAGAGTGTGGACTGGAGCTAGAACTTTCCGATGTGTCAGTTAAAAACCTCGTGCCGCAGCCGCTAAGGGTAAATTTCTGTTGCAGTAAAAAAAATTGACACATCACCCAACAATGTGTGTGGTTTTGTGTAAACATGTCTGGTTAATTGCAGGCCAGTGCATCAGCTGAAGAATTCATGCAGCAGCTGCCACAATTTGATGAAGATTTAGCCAATCAAAGGCAGGAAGCTGAAGCTGCAGGAGAGGTATGATCTACTCCCTCCATTCCACAATAACTGTCCATTAAGGATTATTAGATACATCAGATTCTGAACAAATGTAGATTTTATGTCTACATTCATTCAAACTCCAATGCATCCAATTGCAGGTCTTGAGATATGTTGGGGTGGTTGATGTGGGCCTCCAAGAGGGGACGGTGAAATTGGAAAGGTACAAGATGGGCCACCCGTTTTCTCAGCTTTCTGGGTCGGATAACATAATCGCCTTCACCACCGAGAGGTATGCGACGCAGCCGCTGATTGTGCGCGGGCCCGGAGCTGGAGCCGAGGTTACGGCTGGAGGAGTGTTCAGTGATATATTACGACTTGCTTCCTACCTCGGCGCTCCCTCTTAGGTATTGGAGTTTTGTTTTTCCTTCGGTCGCATACATTATCTATTACTCCGAATGGATTTCTGCAAAGTGAATTTTGTTGCTTTTTTGCTTGTTTAATTAGAGAATAAGCAAGGCTTTATGCTTGTGCTATAGGTGTTCTTCATATATATGTATTTGTTGAAGTTTGGTCTTTCTTGTTCCCTTCTTACCAATAATGAAGCTTTTAGTTATGAGCTAGTGTCCATATCTCTAGCACTCTATGTTCGTTTCTTTTACTTCGACTAAAAGCCTTTTTTCCCTTGTGCTACTTATGTTTGGTTCGACTGTAATCGAAAAGCCTTTTTAACTTGTTTTTCTTTATGGTATGAGACCCAACCATTGTGTTCTAGGTGGTAGATAAATGAATACTAGAACGACATCTATAGAATTAATTTACTAAAAACAAATAGTCAAATAGACATTTAGTAACAGTTATTGTTACTCGTACTATTCTAGTCGCCATTAGACCGTTTGGTGTGGGCTTCAGCAAGACATCGAGTAGCCGATATGGCTTTGATGTCGATTGGCACCACTGCACCTTCGAAGCCGAAGGTCTCGAGTCACAATAACTCTTCCAAATGGACATTCGTGAGTTCGAATCCTTGTGAGACTTTGTTTTTTAATACGTTTAGAAAGTATATATATATATATATATATATATATATATATATATATATATATATATATATATATATATATATATATATATATATATATATATATATATATATATATATATATATATATAGAGGCCGGTTCCCGTGAGAATGCACCTTGTGGAGAGAAATGAGAATAAAATCTAGCCGTCGGATCTGATGCATCGTACGGCTCAGATTGCATCCTGCGCTCAGATTTTGAGATAGTGCATTTTTGAAGGTTTATGGTGCATTTCGACGTGATGCATTTTCGCACCATTTTGGTGAATCTAATTTTGATGAAATCTTGACCCTTAGATCTCACAATCTAAAGCACTAAATTCATTCTCATTTCTCTCCTAAGATTGCATTCTCACCAGAACCATATATATATATATATATATATATATATATATATATATATATATATATATATATATATATATATATAAAAGTAACTATTGTACTATTTAAAAAAAATTAGTAATGCTAAATGAGGCCGTAAAAATAGTAAACGGAAAAAATTGAGAAAAAATAGTAAAGATATTAGTGCTCAGAAAGCTCCATCTGTTTATTTATTTCTTTGTCACTTTCCTTTTTTGACCATCCCAGAATTTCTTTCTGCTTTCTTATTTTGGCAAAAAAAAAAGACATGTTTGGAAACTTGTATTTAGATATCAAATCCAGATTTGATCCAAATTACTTGTTTGGGAACTCAAAGAATTTGGATTTGGATTTGAACCAAATTTTTTCAATTCAAAACTAACTCAAGTACAAATCCATACCCCTCCTCATGTCATTTACAAATTTAAACTCAACTTTTTTTTAATTTAAAACTTGTAATTAAAGATTGATCTCCCTTTATATAATAACAATTTCATACATATAAACCCGCTTTTGTTACCGTCTTTGATGACTTAAAAATTCAAATTCTAGAAATGTAATTATATGACTTTCCAAACAGCATTGAGAATTTGAAATTCTAATTTCTAAACACTACCTTAATGAATTTGTTATTATACTCCTACTCTTTATCTACATCATTTATTTTATTCCATCATATCAAAGGTAATACATAAAGTGAAATTGGCACTAAATAGGACTAAAACATAATGACTTTTCTAATGTAGGACTTAAACTTTTTTATTCCCTAAATAGGACTAAATAATGACCTCGTGGAAGGAATAATGTCCAGTAATGCTAGACATTTACTTAAATAATGACGACTTGTTAATGATCAAAAGTCCTACATTGGAAAATAAAAACAAATGGTCCTATATTGGGAAAGTCATTATGTTTTAGTCCTATTTAGGTAAATTTTTCATACATAAAAAGTCTTCATACTTTTTAACTTTTTTTAATCTTCGTACTAAGTCAAACCGGGAAAGAAATTTTTAGACAGAGGGAGTAGTAAAATACTTAAAGAGAAAAGCTAGTAGAAAATAATAGAGTTAATAGTGCTCGAAAATAGATAGTAGAAAACTAAAAGCAAAAACACTAAGAAAATGCAATATTGTTAATGATGCTAAAAAAATGTAGTAAAAAAGTTTAAAAAATGGAAAGGAAAAAAATCCGAGAGAAAATAAACTAAGGCTCTGTTCCGTACGACTGATCTGATTGAATCTGATCTGAATTTTTGAAGTTCTGATCTAATCTGATTGGGTTTGATCTAATCTGATTAGATCTGATCTGATCTGATTGGATCTGATCTGATCTGATTGGATCTGACCTGATCTGGTTGGGTCTGATCTGATCTGATTGAGTCTGATCTGATCTGATTGGATCTGATCTGATCTGATTGAATCTGATCTGATCTGATTGGATCTGATCTGATCTGACTAGATCTGGTGTAAATGAATTTAAATTTGATTTAAATTAAACTTAAAATTATTACAAAATTTAATAGTTTTAAAGTATTACAATTCATATATACATAAAAAAGTAAAATAAAAAAATCAGCTAATCATTAATATCTTTAAAAAATTTTAAAATATTAAACATCTTTTCAATATCACAACTTTTTTAATTTTTGTGAAAACTAAACAATCGGTATTAAAATAAACAAATATTAGAAAATATTGATGCTATTCTACAAAAATATCACATTGTACATAATACTGGTATTATATTTCATGTTACAAATTAAAGATCATATAAAATTTTAAACACTAATATCACTTTCACCTCTATCAATTTTGTCATAAATTCACCCTTGTGTATATTATACCATATTAAAGTTTAAAAGTAAGTTTTTTTAAGTATAAAATATTTATAGTTTTGAAAACTAAGTTTTGTATAATTATTTTATAAACAAGTATTTTAAAATAAATCTTTTTAAAGTATGAAAAATATTATTTGCATTCGGTTAAAAAAAACATTGCTTCCATGCATCATTTCTATCCTACAAGCTAAACAATTATTTAAAACAATTGTTTGTAGTTGAAATATAATAATAATAATAATAATAATAATAATTATTATAATAATATAAAAACAATAATATTTAAAGTTATAACATTAATTAAGATTTAAGTGTGTGTAGTTTTAAATAAAGTAATGTGATTTAATCAAATAATAGTAATTATTATTTAATCGTTGAATCAAAAGTAATTATTATCTTTTATATTTTTTCTTGATTTGATATTATTGGATTTGATCTGGTCTGATCTGATTGGATCTGATCTGATCTGATTGGATCTGATCTGATCTGATTGAGTCTGATCTGATCTGATTGAGTCTGATCCGATCTGATTGGATCTGATCTGATTAGGTCTGATCTGATCTGATCTAATTTTAATAAGAATAAGTAATAAGTAGAAAAAATAAGTCCTACGGAACGGACCCTAAGAAGGGTGTATCCAATTCAGTTTTAAAAGATTTTATTAGATTATTTGGAATTTATAGAATGTTTAAAATCCATATATTATTTTAAATCAACGTAGATTTGGATATACGGAGTATTTTATAAACATGGTTTTGTCAAATTGTTTAAAATTCCAAATTATGTAAAATTCATGAAACTTTGAAGCCCTAGTGGAACTCTACTTCGAGGCTACATCTCTATTTCAATCGAGAGTTTCCTCAAACTTTCACATGTCTCCATCAAGAATCTATTTTCATCACTCGTTTTCATCCGAATCTACAAAAAAAAAAAAGAAGTCTTTCTAAATCTATGGACTATTTTATATTATTAAATTTTGATAGGCATTTTAAAATCCAAAATGAATACCTTAAGATTTTAAACGATTTTTTAAAATCTTGGTTGAATATCTACAAACTTTTAAATTTTAAAATGATTCTACAGAGTTTGGATTGAATACACCTGCCTTAAAATGTGAAAGACGTTACCCTATCCAACAACAATTTATGGTGATGATGAGGAGGAGGATCACAATTTTTATTTTGAAGTCATCTTATGCTTTGCTATACCAGTTAAATGAGAGAAAAAAATGAAGTTTTAATCTCAATTGATTAAAAGAGAATGAGATTTGTCGTTGGTCTTATTAAGGATCTTATGATAAGCATAAACGTTCACATTGCTTTCATAAGTGTCCATGCCGACTTAATTATAGTTCATGTACATCTATTGACGACTTGAGTTACGCCCTGAGCATGAGTATGACCAGGTTTAAATATATACTTGTAAATTTAAAGTAGGACGGGTCCAATATTTTCGGAAGTCATGTTCAAAAATTAAAATTATGCTTCTATAGTTTATACTCCGTAACACATTATTTTTTAGCACCCGTAATACACTATTTAGGTATAAGTTTTTAGACATATTTGAGACAAATTTCTTTTTTCCTAAAATATTAAACGTGCAACACTATTTTTCCATTCAATATGCGGTGTATAACACAACAATGAAGTCATAACACATTTTTATGAAATATGATAGCATCCGAAAGACGTGACAAGAGTAAGAGATAATATTCTTGAGATAGAGATAATTTCTTTTACGGTATGTTTGGGAACATGGATTTGGATTTCAAATTCGGATTTGGCTCAAATTCCATATTTGAAAACTTACAAATTTTGAATTTGGATTTGAATCAAATTCTTCTCATTCATAACAAAGCTTAATTTTAAATTCAAGCACCTCCCCTTGTCATTTGAAATTCAAGATTTCAAATTTTGGAATTAAAATACATGAATTGAAATGAAATCTTAGTTGCCAAACACTACCTTAGGGATTATTCGACCTTCTTCATTCTATTCGAAAACAAAATCCCAAACATGTGTTAAAAAGCATCTACTCTTATCAATCGTATCCAGTTTTCATTCCAAACAAGGTGTTAAGCTCCCTAAGATCATATACGATTGGTACGAAAAATTTAAAAATGCCTCCGTCGTATTTTATGTTTTATACACTTGTGCAATTACTTTGACAACAAATCCATTGTCGTCCAGTGGTTAGGATATCTGGCTTTCACCCAGGAGACCCGGGTTCAATTCCCGGCAATGGAATCTTTTTTTTTCACACCCTATTTTGTTCTACGTGAAACGCAATATGCCAATACTTTTTACAAAACTTTTAATGTTTAGTCACGATAATTTCTATTTGGAAATTTTAAAACTAAATATTCCGTAAAATTAATTTTTTATTCTTTTTTTCTCAATGTATTCTTTCCATTTGAAAAAAAACTGTAAATTTGTATCTTCTTAAAATACTTTTATTTACAAATTAATATAGAAAAAAATGCAAATTATTTTATTCAAAACTACATTAAAAATTTTACAAAACAAAATAGAAAAAAAATATTATATTTTATCAAATGTTTAAAGAAAACATACATACATTCAAATATAAATTGTCAAGAAACTGTTATAATAAATAAGAAGGTTTATTTAGAATGGAAGGATACTACTCCGTATAAATTTAAAATGTGTTAAATACGGAGTATATTTTAGGAGTTCCCTTCTTTTCACATACTAGTGTTTTAACTCACACAGGACTAGACGAAATTATTTTCAATTCTACAATGTAGATTATTAAAAAAGAAATCTCTTTGAAAAAACTCATTTCGAACGAAACTGTGAGGTAAGTTAGATGTTTGTTAAAGTTGATGTTGCTAGGGTAGTACACTAGTCTTGAACCAGACCAAAAAAACTGGAATCAACTAGCGTGTAGGACAGAAAATCGGACGTGTTAGATTCTTGTCCGAATCGGTCTGGACTTGTTTTTTATGGTTAGTTCCGGATAAGAACGAAAAAACCCAGAATCTATTTTTTTTGTTTTTTTCCTTAAATTGTTTTCACTTATTTTTCGACACCTTAGTTTGATTTGATTTTATTTCAACCCTAGTCTTAACTTTTATATCCAATGGGCATTATATAAGAAATTATAATAATGTAAAATCTTTTTATCAACAATATGATAAGTTTAAAACGAGTATACTTCCGTTAGTTTGTGAGATTTCAAATATATTATAAAATTGTACTTTAAATTATTTCATTTATACCAATAATGAGTTATATATCGAAGTGTCTAAAAATCCAAATTGAAACATTATACTCCAACTTTTTTTTGACATAATCCTAATTTTGAATGGCATTTTTGAGTAAATGTCAATGATTGTAATTACGTTGTATAATAAGCATTGCAAATCCTTTATATATATATATATATATAAAGTAGGGGTGAGCAAATTAACCGGACCGACCGTTAAACCGAAAACCGAAAACCGAACTAATCGCTAATTCGGTTTCGGTTTCGGTTTCGGTTTTATATAATAAAAAAATCGGTTTGTTCGGGTACTTCGGTTTGGTGTCGGTTTCGGGTATCGGTTAACTCGGTTAACCGAATAACCGATATACATGCTTTGTTTGGATTAACCGGCATATGTGTTTACTAATTAATAATACTCCGTATGCATTTTTAAAGTCCAATGGGAAGTTAGCCCAATAGCAATCAGCCCACTCCATTATCTAAAACACTAAAATCCATTGGGAGTTGGCAGTAGCGTACGGGTACTCCACCACATTGAGATTTGGGATTTATAATTTTAGGTTTTGGTTGTTACTCCACCCAATCGCGATTTTCGAAGCCTCATCCTTTTGCAGATCCGATCGAGAGTCCATGCCTCTGCAAAATTAAAGCCTCATCTTTTTGGTTGTTACTCCACCCAATTCTGCCTTCTTCTTTGAGAGTTCAAGACGACAGTGCAGTTCCTCAACCAATTTCGCAAGGTTTTGCTGTTTTTTTTTTTTGGCAAAATGGGCTGAATTTTTGCCACTTTTCTTTGGCCTTTAATGTTAAGGATAATACTTAGTCATGCTTATCTCCTTTTTAAATATTCAAATAGTTGTTGTGTTATCCCTTAGAAACAGCATGCGTGTAGCTCACTTCCACTTGTATAGCAGCTGCTCCTTATTTGTAGCATAGGTGGGTAATCTCTTGCTTGTATAAATTGCATTTCTTTGTTAATGAAAATCATCTTCATTTAAATAGATTTTTTTTCTCTCTTTCCGGCTATTGCCGATGACGACTTCTGCTTCCGCCTCTGTGGACTCTGGTTCGCCCACCTCTCCGGACCTTGTTCGTATGTCCGCATCTAAACACTTTCCGATAAAGCTAACCAAGACAAATTTTCTTGTTTGGCGACGTCAAGTGCAATCCACCCTTATTGGTTTGAATCTCCTTGGCTATGTCGACGGCTCCGTCAAAGCTCCGCGTCCCTTCTTGGACAGTGCTCATACACAAACTAACCCTGCTTATACCCTTTGGTATCGGCAGGACGCTATCCTCCTCAGTGCAATTCTAGGAAGTTGTACCGATGTCGTTCAATCCATTGTCTCCCTTGCTGATTCTTCTGCCGACGCTTGGTCCCGATTGGCTAGGAGCCTTGCTAGCATGTCTCGTGGCCGCATCATATCTCTCAAAGCAAAGTTAGCAAAGAATCCCTGTGGCAATCGTACTATTGCCGCCTTTGTCGCTGACATGACGGAGATCGCTGGTGAATTAGCACTCGCCGACAGTCCCGTTTCTGATGAGGACCTAGCAGTGCATATTATGTCTCAACTTGGCGATGAGTATTCTACTATTTATCAATCATTGCGCGGGCGTAATGATTGTGTCTCCATCGAAGAGCTCACTACTATTTTGGAGGACTATGAACGTCATCTTCGTGAGCATGCCTCTGCTACGGCCGATTTGGTGCCAACTGCTAATCACACTCAGCGTGCTCGCAGTGACCGCCATGGTGATCGCGGTGATCGTGGTGGTATGTTCAATCGTGCAGGTGGTTTTGGTCAGTCTCGTGGGGGTCATCATGCACGAGGCTCCTCTCTTGGCGGTAATCGTGGTGGTCTCTATTGCCGGTTTTGTGACCTTCCTAGTCATGACACACGGTTCTGTCGTAAACTCCAACGCTTTCTACGGGAGAATAATGTTACCATAACTCCGCCGAATACCAACAACCCTACTGCTCATGTCACCGTCTCCAATGGTGATCTTGGACAATCGAATGCCCAATGGATTGTTGATAGTGGTGCGTCCCATCATGTGGCAACTGATCCTAATTCACTCAACACACTCATGGAATATGAAGGACCGGATGAAATTCGTTTGGGTAATGGTAATACTTTAACTATCTCTCACACTGGCCGATCTAGTTTGTCAACTCCTTCACGTTCTCTCTCTTTATCTAATGTTTTATGTGTTCCCTCACTTCAGAATAATCTTCTATCTGTTTCCCAGTTATGCCGTACTAATCATGTTTCGGTTGAATTTTTCTCTGATCATTTTTTTTGTCAAGGATGTGCGTACGGGGACACCTCTGCTTCGGGGAGCAATAAAAAATAACTTATACTTTCTTCCCAGTCCATCCAGTCCGTACGTGAATACCGCGTCTGTTGCCGTTTCTTCTGTGGCTGATCTTCATCACCGTATGGGTCATCCCAACAATAAAACTTTAGGCCGCATTATTCGTTGTTGTTCTCGTTTCTCTAATTTACCAGATGTCTCCCAGTTTCATTGTTCTTCATGTAATATTAATAAAAGTCATAAACTTCCATTCTCCACAAATACTTTGACGAGTGATTTTCCCTTGGATTTACTTTATACTGATGTATGGAGTACTACGGAATGTTCTGTGGATGGCTTTTATTATTATGTTATATTTGTTGATTATTATAGCAAATATACATGGTGGTATCCGCTTAAACACAAGTCTGATGTTTCTTTGATTTTTCCTCAGTTTAAGCGGTTAGTGGAAAACTATTTTCAGCGGTCTATCAAATGTGTTTTCTCCGACAATGGTGGAGAATTTCTCAAATTAGTACCTCTTTTTAATACTCATGGGATTTCTCATTTTACGACTCCGCCCTACACACCAGAACAAAATGGTACGGCGGAGCGGCGTCATAGGCATATTGTTGAAACTGGAATGTCCTTGCTTCATACTGCTGGTCTTCCTCTATCCTTTTGGTCATATGCGTTTCATACAGCAGTCTATCTCATTAACCGTCTCCCTACCCCAGTACTGTCCCATCGTTCTCCCCATGAAGTGATTTTTTGTCGGCCTCCTGACTACACTAAACTAAAACCCTTTGGGTGTCTGTGCTATCCATGGCTCCGGCCCTATACCTCTACCAAGTTGTCTCCCCGGTCTACTCCGTGTCTGTTTCTTGGCTATTGCAATTCCCAATCCGCGTATAAATGCTATGATCACACGATTGGGAAGGTGTACATATCCAGACATGTAAAATTTTACCCCAATATATTTCCAAAAGCTGTGTTACCATCTGTGGTGTCCACTTGCCCTACTCCTCTGCCTACAATACCCCCAACTACTAAATTGTCATGTATCCCATCTCAATTACCCCACAATTCCACTTTTACGTCCCCTGCCACCCCTTCCCATGCAAACCCCTCTCACACTCCATTATTCCACCCTAATTCCCCACCAGCATCTGCCATGCCCTCTCAAATCCCCACCTCACCTCTTCTTCCTTCCACTGCCGTGTCACCCTCCACCCCCGCACCATCCTCTTCCGTGTCTCCCGTGCATCGACCAATTCGTGAGCGACGGTTAAATCCCCGTTACTTTAATGATCATCTTGTTAATCATGTTTCCTCTGTTGTAGTGGACACCCCACTTACTTATATGCAGGCCCGTAAGGATGCAAATTGGAAGGCTGCTATGGATGCCGAATTTTTGGCGTTACAGAATAACAACACCTGGGAGCTTGTTCCCCGTGCTCACCGGCATCCTATTCACTGTAAATGGGTGTTTCGTTTGAAGCGTAAACCCGATGGGAGCATTGATCGGTATAAAGCTCGTTTGGTAGCCAAGGGATTTCTTCAACAACCGGGCCGTGATTACTTTGAGACGTTTAGTCCCGTCACTAAGCCGGTTACTATTCGTCTTATTCTCACTCTTGCATTGCACTTTGGTTGGCCGCTTCGACAACTGGACGTGAATAATGCGTTCTTAAATGGTACTCTTCATGAAGATGTTTACATGGAGCAACCCTCTGGTTACAAGGATCCCGTTCATCTGGACTATGTGTGTAAGCTTCGTAAGGCTCTTTATGGTCTGAAACAAGCACCTCGAGCTTGGTACTTGGAGTTGGCTGCCTTCTTGACTGCGTTTGGGTTTCGTAAATCGAGGGCGGATGCGTCTCTTTTTCTTTATACCAAGGGGGATATTCGTCTCTATTTTTTAGTCTACGTGGATGATATTATTGTTACCGGTAACTCCACCGCTTCACTTGGTGCCTTTGTTCGTGAACTCTCACGCCGCTTTTCTCTTAAGGACCTTGGTTCGTTGCATCATTTCTTGGGTGTGGAGGTCATCCCGGTTCGTGACGGGGTCTTCTTATCTCAGCGGCAGTACATCTATAATATTCTGTCCGAGCATAACATGGCTGATGCGAACTCTGTTAGCACGCCTCTCTCCTCAACTGTCTCTCTTCGGCTGCAAGATGGGTCTGCCCCAGCAGACTCTACTGTTTTTCGGAAACTTATTGGCTCTCTGCAATATTTGTCGCTCACTCGCCCGGATGTGTGTTTTGCCGTTAACAAGCTGTCCCAATTTATGCATGCTCCCACCATAACTCATTGGCAAGCTGCCAAACGGGTTCTTCGGTACCTCCGGGGCACCTTGTCACATGGCCTTCTTTTACGTTCTAAGACCCCATTGCAGCTCACCGCCTTTTCTGACTCCGATTGGGGTGGTGTGTATGATGGTGGTAAGTCCACCACCGCCTATGTCCTTTATCTTGGTTCGAACCCGGTTTCTTGGAAATCTGCGAGGCAAAAAGCGGTGTCTCGCTCCAGTACAGAAGCTGAATATCGGGCTCTTGCCCATGCTACCGCAGAAACCTTATGGTTGCAACATTTACTATGTGAGCTTGGTGTACCGGTTCCTCATGCTCCAGTATTGTACTGTGACAATCTTGGTGCCACTTATGTGTGCAAGAATCCCGTTTTTCATTCTCGAATGAAGCACCTAGCTTTGGACTACTTCTTTGTTCGTGATCTTGTTGCTGCCAACCGTCTCCATGTGCAGCACATCCCTTCGGGTGCTCAACTGGCCGATCTTCTTACCAAGCCATTGGGTACTACATTGTTTCACCGTTTTCGGTCCAAGATTGGAGTCTCCAACGGATCCTCCATCTTGCGGGGGCGTGTTAAGGATAATACTTAGTCATGCTTATCTCCTTTTTAAATATTCAAATAGTTGTTGTGTTATCCCTTAGAAACAGCATGCGTATAGCTCACTTCCACTTGTATAGCAGCTGCTCCTTATTTGTAGCATAGGTGGGTAATCTCTTGCTTGTATAAATTGCATTTCTTTGTTAATGAAAATCATCTTCGAAGCCTGTGTTATATTTAATTTATTCAAAATTACACTATGTTGATTTAGAGAAAGAAGCCCCAATCTCGTTTGGCTTCAATGTTTTTTTGGTTTTCCATCAGCGAATTGCTTCAAAATTGTTCATCCATTCATTATTTATCTTTTACCATGAAAGTTCATGTTTTGGGTGCTGTGCAATTCGGTTTTTGATAACCGACCGAAACCAATTCGGTTTAATCGGTTTCGGTTTGTTGGTTATTCTAATTTCCCGGTTCGGTTTCGGTCGGTTTTTTTATCCCAAAAAAATTTCGGTTAGTTCGGTTTTGGCCCGAAACCGACCGAACCAAACCGAAGCTCACCCCTAATATAAAGCAGAGTCGGAACTATAAGAACGTGACATTTGGCAGAGCTAAAACGCGACATGTGGCGAGCTGATGTGGCGACATTTGGCAAAGTTAAAGTGCGACATGTGGCGAGCTGATATGTCACCCTTTTAGACAAATCGATCGGTTTGACCGGTTAGACCAGTTCTTTTTTTGCAATTTTTTTCCAAAAGCATACCACCATGGGGTTTGAAACAAGGATCTCTTGGTCATTTAGTTGAGTTCCTAACCATCCAAGCTATGGTGCTTTTTGTTACAATCTCACTTAAGCTTTTATAATGTTTCATAATTAAAAAAGGATTGTATAAAAATTTCTTTTTAATTATAAAAAATATAGAAATCACCCTTAATAGGACTAAAACATAGATTTTATGCCAAAATAGGACTTCTATGATTTTATCCTCAAAATAGGACTAAGCATTACAATTATACCCTTGTTGCCCTTGCCCTCTCTTCTGTGTTAACTCTCCGACTGCCGCCCTCCATCTCCTTTCTCTTTGTTTTGTTTTCGTCTCTCTTTTGTGTTTTTTTTCTTTCGTCCATTTTTTTGTTTTTGTTTTTTTGTTTTCTTTCCCTCTCCTTCCTCTTGTTTTGCATACAAG